GCATATACATATACATATATACGTATATATAAACAATTATATTCAAATATCCCTTGACATATATATATTCTTAGCTTTTATACATCTACATCAGACACACAATTATATATACAGAACATACAAATATTTATATAGATTACATATAGATATTCATAGTTTTCAAATGATTTTGGCGTTGTGTTTCCTAATAAAGAACCTTACCATGCGTGTGTATAGATGATTTAAGTTGGTGTATGAAATCCCTCTACATACTGTATGGTATGGATAGTACAGGATGAGCAGGGGTGTATAAAAGAAGACCTGATACATTATCTGTGTGCACACCATTCCAGACTTATGTAGCGCAGAATTTTGACATCCATCATGACCCTCGAGAGAGTGAAGAAAGAAAATATGGCTGAACGGACTAACGTCCGTAGGACCATCCATTTTGTAATACAGCCTTCATATTCCAAATTCCCTACACTTCCTGCCTAAATTTTGTCATCCATATTACAGACTTCATACATATTCCAAATTTTCCTATCCTAAATTTATAGGTTTAACGCTTTCATGTCCTTCTCGCTTGCGACAGGTTTATCACTGAAAGTGTAAATAATATTTAAATATAATATGAAGTTCTTCAGAGCTTCATTGTTTGTCGCGCTTCGTGTCCTTATATGGGCTGAAATTTACATATGTAATGGGCAATATTACACTTTTAAATTTACGAATCCAACAGGAACGATTCACGTTTAACCTTCAGGAACTAGCCTTGTGACTTGTGTCGGTTGGCAAAGTACTCCTTTTTGAGTATAGGTAATGGTATTTACTTTTTTTGAAAGTGCCTATTCTATAGAAGGGCAACTGGGTAGGGCTATGTGGTGTTTTAATTATTGTGTAAATACATTTCAAAAGAACTATTCATAGCCTTCTAAATTCATCTTTTTTTTATAGTCTAAACTCTGCCAAAGTTGGTGAGCCAGTGATACAGATCACTGGACAGCATCACGCGCAGAACAAGGCAGAGTGAGAAAAAGATGCCTGAGCCGCCGCCCTGATGGCTGCGCTGAGCGGGCCAGGCCCAAAGTTGCTTGCGACTGTGAGTGTGAGAGGCTGGAGCTATGTGAGAGGCTGGAGCTATGTGAGAGTCGCCTAGTAGTCAGTATGTACATAATGAAGACGCTCAATCGGCTCAGAGCCTCAGGCTCAGACGCGTGATTCAGACACTCAGTCGCACACTCACTATATATTCACGGGGTAGACGTGGGTCACTACTGTGCCGTCAAGTTAAAGTGACAAAAGTGCCAACTGTTAAGTGTATGTCAACTTTGCCGTAAAAAGCCAGCTCTATAGTATAAAGTAGCACAGAATCGAACTAGAAAAACCATCACTATCCCAGCTACGTGTGAGAAGTGGTTTCCAGAAAACCATTGCACCATTCCACGTGCTTATATAACCATGTCAATTATCAAAACAATCAGTTCAAAAAAATTGCTAAGCGCCACATTTGCCAAAAAAAAAAAACTATAGTAAAAAGTGTTTTGTTTTTAATTTTTTAACATCGCAGCTTGTCAGCGACTCGCCGACTGGATCATATAATATACTCTTTAGTCGCTTTATATTATTATCCCAAACGTATTGATTTATTAATGGCGTACTTGAACAATATTTTCCCTGCTCTTAGAGTAGTATGTAAAGCAAAAAATTTATCACTACTATTTTAGTGCTTTGTATTTTTACTTTTTTTTGACCGGTGCGGATTGTCTTCGCTCTGACGCTCTCTCTTCTCTTCTCTCTAAAACTCTTGTTGTGTGCTTGTGTAGTAAAACTTTTGTTTTAAAAAAAACAAGAGACTTGCGAGTTGGAGTCTCGGAGTACGTCTCTACAGTATACGACTCTACTGAGTCTACGCCTTTACGGCTAAGCTCAATGCGTTAAAAGTGTACAACTTTTATTATGCCTCGAATAAACATTAAGGTTGCAACTTTTATATCGCGATAGTACACTTTCATATATGATAGGTGCATTTTAGTCGTCACAACTGAAACGCTCAATCTTCTTTGATTGCCTATTATCAATTTCGTAGCCTAAAGTTTTCAAACGATAGGACAGCTTATTGAGTGCAATTTCAAAAAAAAAGCTTTAGTTGAATTTATAGTCGATTCCATAAACGAAGATTTTTAATGGAAATATATATATATATATATTTTTTTTTCAAACTGATAGAATATAAATAGACTATAGAGATTATAAAAGATGCTATTTGTTTTGTTTTGCTTTTGTAAAATATTTTGTTGAAGTTTTGTACAACAAGAAGCAAGGGCGAGTTCATACGGTTCAAATTTTCTTTCTTCAATTTCAAGATATTCAAGGCCGAAGGAGTAAGTTAGTGCCCTCTTTTTAGATTGTATGACCTTGGCGGCTGGGCCTAATCTCCATACGTTATGGGGGTACGGAATAAAAATCGAACTTCTTTTTATAGGACTGGTTTGTATGGTGAAATTGGTACACATCTATACTATCTATGTCCTGAGTTTTATAACTTTATGTAAAACGATAGCCTTCTAAATTAAAAACAGTAAAACGTAAAAACGTAAAAACTTGAAAGTTGAATGGAAACACTAAAAAGTCTTGGAACTTGGAAGCGTCCGAGGGGCGAGGACTCTTTTGCATTTTCGTTTCAAGTTTGATAGCTGTATGTGATTTTATGGGCTAATGTGCCAAAAAAAATTGTTGAAAGAAAATATCTAGGCATTGCCTAATGCCTCCCCCTGCTATTTAATCTATAAAAAAAGCCTTCTCGAGTCTCGACAACAAATATCAAAATTTTCATTGTTTTTTTTGGGTTTGTTTCTATTAAAATTATTTTTTTTACAAAACAACAAACAAAAACAAAAATCAAAAAGGATTCTCGACATTGGTGATCGGACTAGTCTTGAGACAGTCTTGGTCACTAAAAAGGAGACACAAAAAAAATCTAAGAAGGCCTATTTGAGACCAGTATAAAAATTTCGAAAAGGCTATCCACCATTATTGAGAAATATTGTAGAATAAACTCCATAGGTATTTTGTTTTTAGTGACTACCGCCGTGAGCAGTGATTTTGTTGTTCAATTTTCGAAAGACCACCAGTAAAAATGTACATCACTATATCAACATGGAACCAAAGTGAAAACACGCAACTCTTAGAGTTTAGTTAATACCTTTATGATGGTATGTATCGCTTGGCTGCTCAGGTATGCAACTATGCATGATGTTGAACATTCATTTATACCAAGTGACCCTTCTGTGTCGAATCCTCCGGCCATGTCGTTTTTTCCTTATTATTCATCACTCATGACAGTCCATCTTCGTATCATCTGTGCCTATAAATACGAAATGATCACTTCCTTCGGTGCAGATTGGACTATATAGACCAACAGTTGTTAAATACACTTACAATTCTCCGATGAACAGATTCACATCGTCTGTCGCAGTCCTGGCACTGGCTTCACCTGTAGTCCTACATGCACAGCCTGCTGCACATTATGAGCCGCTTCGTCAGCCAACAACCTACACATCCGAAGATGGAAAGCTAGATGTCACCTTAACTGTCACCGCCAGCCGCATCCATGGGCCGCTCAGAATTGAATACAACACTCGTCTGTATGACGGTGAGTTTCCCGGCCCTACGCTACGGTTCAAGGCTGGAGATGATGTCAACCTTTTGTTGCGGAATGAACTAGGTTTCAACGATGCTACCGCCGAGGCGATGTCAGGCAACAATGAGCTACACCATCCGAACAGTACGAACATGCATCTGCACGGTATGCACGTTGCATCCACTGGAGCTCAGGACAACGTTGCTCTCACCATTGCTCCTGGATTTTCTTTCCAATATGAATACAAAATCAATTCAAAACATCATGCTGGTACCACGTACTATCATCCCCATTTACACGGGAGTACAAATTTGCAAGTCTTTGGACTCATGGCCGGTGCTTTCATCACAGAAGACAATCCTGATGATACTCCCGAAAATTTACTTGCCATGGATGACCTTGTTGTGATGGTTCAAAGTGTATACTTGGCCGATGAACAAGCATTCCTCACTGTGTACGGTCACAATGGTACCAGCAATATGCCTGTAGGTCTAAAGAATCCAGAAGGAATTAAGCGCAATATGTTGATGGTAAACGGTCAATACAAGCCTCGTATCGATTTCGCAATTGGCGAGCTGAAGCGTTTGCGAATTATTAGTGGATTGGCCTCAGAAGCAATGCTATTCGGACTCTCGAAAGATAGTGCCTGCCAACTATACGAAATGGCCTACGATGGTGTGTACCTACCAGCGCCACGCGAAGCCGGCACCATCTTCCTTCCCTCCGGTGGACGCGTTGATGTTGCTGTACAGTGCTCAAAGTCGGGCAGCTTTGCCCTCACCACAGTGCCGGACAAACGTTTGGCGGACTACGCCCAAATCTGGGTGCCAGTACCCGGGCCACCGACAGACCCGGAGAATGTGCAGCCCATGCTCATGATAGAAGTAAGTAGCGAAGAGATGCCAATGGAACTACCTGATATTCTGCCCGACCTTCCTGAGTATCTACAAAAGGCTAGGGATGAAGATGAAAACCCTGACGCGGAATGGGAGACCTCGCTCTCTATTGAACTGTCAGATGCCGATGGCGCTAATGTAATTAATGGACAAGCTTTCGATCCTAAAGGTCCTCTTCTCGACTCGATAGAGCTGAATGCGTTCTATCAATGGGATTTATCAGCAGGCGAAGTCTTTCAAGAAGGCGAAGGCTATCCCCAGCATCCGTACCACCAACACATCAATCACTATTTAATCACAGCCAGCGATCATGTTACTGATGGCCTGTTATTCCGAAAAGGAGACTTCCGCGATACGATCCCGTTGTTTGAATCGACGCCAGTTGGAGTGCGTTTCTACGCTGCTGACTATACCGGACCAATGATGATGCACTGCCACAATCTGGGACACGAGGATAAGGGAATGATGGCTGTCGTCGGCATAGACGAGGCTAGCAACGACCAAGCTAGCGAAGACGAAGATTAGACTGACACGTTCACTACAACAAATAGTTCAATAAATAAATCTATATATATATATATATAGATATATATATAAATGTATCCCCGAGTAAATATACCCTATGGCGTTGACAATGCACACACAACAATATAATCTGGACCCATGATTCTTTCTGGACTATCAACAAACAGCGCAGTACAAGGAGTTCTAACTTAGCTCAACTATACAGAACGATGGTGGTGTGCAACCTAGGCATCAGTTGTAGAGCTTGTGGTTTAGATTCGTGTACTCCAACCCTACAGTCTACGCTATGGTCTGCAACCTATGCATCAGTTGTAGAGCTTGTGGTTTAGATTCATGTACAGTCTACGCTATCCGAAGAATGTTTACTTCATCAGTCAAGTTACAATCAATCCGGACTGGACTCGGTGCAGACAAATCTGTACTAGATTGTTGATTTTAATGCATTTGGATAAGACTGATACAAGCGTCTAGCCGATTTTTTCTTTGATGTTTGCGGGGTGTAGAGGGTTATGTGCAGGCTCACTTGTCCCCGTAAACGATGGCAGTCTTTTCTGTATGAATAAATAGCCTACTATAACGCCCGTCTCCATGAGCATCCACCTCCCCAGCTGTGAAGTCAAAGGGCCAGTTCATGAGCAAAATAGTTGGGCTAGAGTAGTGGTTTGCGTGAAAGCATAACAGTGCAAAGCTGCAAGCTACAGTGAAATTAAACCAGGATCAAAGGCTGAAATCCGAAAAAGGAAGGGCCAAGTGAGTACACATAGCAATAGCATGGAAGACTCATTTGACTGAAAACCGAATACAGATTTTTGATCGAATGTACAGCCCCTTTGTTCCAAGCGCTGTCACACGTGTGTACACACCTACCTGTTTATAGACCAGCGCCGTGTCGAAAATCCCGGAGCCGAACTTAACGATCAACAACACTTCAGTCATCAAGACACCAAATGTTGTCCAAGCCTGTAAAAAACAAAAGTCCCTATTTAGCCTTATATATCTGGTGCATCAGTATTATAAACTGTATGACTACTAGCACACTATATACCTGCATACTGATAGTTTGACACAAATTCTCGACGAAATACAAGTATTCATCCAATGCGGAGTGCACACAATACATAAGTGCACTTCAGCAAAGCCAGTTGATGGAACAAAAAGTTTTAACCAGCTGATACGTTTTTAACCTTCCAGTGGAGCACCCGTATCTGACTATATAAAGCTATGGAGAAGACCCTAACAATTACTAGATCGGTGAAATGAATCACAGCTCAGACTAACACAAGAAAAATCTCTTTGAGCAAATGCTCGATGGTTACATCGAATACCTGAGTCCCCAGTCGCCTACAAGATGGATCTGTGATGTACACGTATACTTGCCTCAAGGCTGGGGCGCCCATGACAAACCACAAGCCCAGACGGATACTGTTTACAGGGTTTTCCGCCGATACTGTAACAAAATAAAGTACATCAATATGTTACTTAAGATGTTGAGTTATTTATATCCTCAAAAGGCTACGAGTAGACCACATTAGTTCACTACCAAAACCTGCTGCCGACGCAGCCCGATGTACCTCACAATCCACAGACGTAAAACGGAACAAACCCCTCAAAATATATGAGGGAGGTCGGTTTGGTCTGTCACACAGTCTTGCAAAGCATCGCTTACCTTTGAAGATGTGCTTCAGGAAGAAGGCATTAAGTTCGGCTATAGTGATGAGAATAGTCACTGCCATCACAGCACCGTACCTCTTAATAGAACTGAACATGCCCCACTCCACCTTAGTCCAAGACCGGGGCGTGAATTGCATCACTGCGCGCTGATACTTTCCCGTTAACGTGTGGTATGAGCTGCAGAGCAATCGAATATATCGAGCCTGTTAAAAAGTATTGATCGATGTGAAGCCATCGATTAATGGATCCAAAAGGTCAAACACGAGTAATTATGAATCGAACCCATTTTCAGGACTTATGCAGCTGGTGCACTCACCGAATGCCGTGCCAATGATATGTCCTCATTTCCAGATACCTACATAGTCGCCATCCGATATACATGCCTGAGGGATGATTCAGTAATTCATATGAATATGCGACAATGTAGCGTTTGAGTGAGTGAGCCGCATAAAAGCATAGCAGCAATCGATTAGGATTGCAGCTTGCATCAACTACGCACAATGCACAACAACTGAGTGTTACTGAAGTATCCCTACCGGTCAGTATCCCATAACACACCCTACTACTGAAAGCAAATTACAATAACATTTGAAATGAACAGTCTCGCATATATGAGATATTGGTGTCACGTTTTAAGATTAAGTTGGATGTCAAGTGCCAACTTTGTAGTTAAGCATCTACTTATAGCCTGAATCACCATGACCACAAATAGATCAGCAGTGGCGATGCTTACTCATTACTTTGCAGAGTATGCTTAACCTGGTAAGAGATTTTTTCTGTGCACCCATTTGCAGCCTGAGGTCAGACACGCACGGATCGAACAGCGAATAAGATGTAAAGCGACTGTACATATCGATAAAAAAGCTTGCAGCACGTACCCAAGGCATTGCAGAATATGACATCGTATAGTAGCTGATCCCACCAGCATTCGTACAGATTGGGTATCAGCGGCGCAAATACGATCTCAGTCAGTTCCCACGTCAGACTTTGTATCCAACAAACGGTTAGGTTCCGGAAAAGTAAGGCCTGGTGAAAGTATGTGGTGATATGAGGAAGAATGGGTGATAGAAGAGAATTATGTCAATCTATGCGTCTATCTGTGGCCACCAAGGTGAAAGCTTCGAGTACACGCAACGATAGGCTGGCGCTTCCAGCGTAACTGGAGCGTGCGTAAAAAAATGATTTTTATTTTGGAACATTTGCAACAGCAGGATACGCTTAGATCGCAAGCACATACACTTACAATTGTACATGAATAAATCCGACCCACTCAACGCTGGAATCGACCTTGATGCGCATGAAACATATGCATTGATTTTAGTTCCCTAAATTAAGTATGAAAATACATACCTTGCCAATCCAGCCGACAAAGTGCGCTATGATGAACACGTCGAAGCGACTGTACAGATTGGCCATTGTGAATTCGCAATTCGATGCGTAGTCGGCACTGTCCTGATTAACATCAAGATGAAAAGGCGACTGTCAATATAGTAATACGTCTGCTGCCTTGTAGAGCGCGCAGATCGTTTTTGCACCAGCACATTGTGTACTTGGCGAGGCTATAGATCTATTCTTGCTCACTATCGAGTAGATTGAGTGATTCATAGTGTGAGAAAGTAGGTACAGGACGCACGGTGACACTGGCGGTCCAGAGATATTCCAACTTTGGTGCACTTTATGACCCATTGTCTGACGAGGAAATGCGGATATACTCCGTTCCAGTGATCTTAATACGCGTTTCGAGTGTCCACACTTACCCGAGCATCCAAGTATTTGCTGTCCATGCGTGGATCGTAGGCGATCATGGTACTCTTCACGTCATCGTATGACTGGTGCAGTGCGAAGATAAGGCCACACCAGTATAAGATTGTTAGACCTGCAGAAAGTGTAAAGGGTCGGTAAACATGTAGCGAGTAGAAATAAGAGATACCTAAAGCTCTGGATGCCACTCGTAGATGAATGACTGAAGTCTACCCTAGTAGCTGGAAACGGTGACGATTAACAGGTGTGCAATTCAAATCCGAGCAACTATATTTTCAAAGAGAAACTCAATGAAGCATATTTACAACAAGTTTAAGAGCTATATGCTTGGCGATAGTAGTCATGTATGAAATTTTAGGCAAGTATTGTAATAAGCCAACAATGGCAATAATCGTTGGATGATGAATGTAGATACGTGCAGATAAGCGCAAAAGTTCGTAAGACATGCGAAAATGCAACGTCATTCGACGGATATATCTAACGAATCGGTCACATTTTAAAATGTAATGCAACGCAATACAGCACACTCGAACATTAAACAGATTACAAAGCAACGGCCTGGTAAGACTAAGTAAAAGGATTCCCGGCAAATATGTCATGTATATTCCCACATGCCCTTCAAGCCGAAACAGGTCCATAAAGCAGGATAGAATATGCTGATGCTGATAGCATACACATGTGGTACCACAGGGAAACAAATAGCCGACTCTGGCAAATGTACTTCCTCCTCATATTCCGTCAGACCATCACAGTACGAAATCTAATGTATACGCTCTAGAGTAGTGTGTCTAGGACAACTGGGCGAATAGCCTACCAAGACATCGTACAAAATAGGCGACCCAGAAATACACATCATATACTCCATCTTTGACAAGTTAGCCTTGGCTTGAGCCGAATCCAGCCTACCTTGAACAGCACAAAAGAAGTCCCGGGAAACCAACGAAAAAAACTAAACTTGCCTGCTACATTGCCTGCTAAACAATCTACGCAAAAAAATATCATATCGGATTCACCTACAACAGCATAGGAACTAGCATGATCTGTACTAGAACACGGCTCAAAATACCTAACACAGCCCGCCAGACTGCAGGGTGGGGTCGAGTGAAGGGGCCATTGGGGAGTGCCACGGTACTTATCAGCAGAAACGCAAACGAGAATGACCGAACGCCTCTGCAAACAAATAGAAAGTGCGATCCCATCGCAGAGCAGATGTCAGAATCGTTAAAGCGCAATGCTATGTAACGCTGAAAGCAAGATTCTGATGACAAAATACAGATATGCTAGTTTCTCGATGTCAAATAACAGCAACGTGCAAAGTTTATGGAAAGCGGCCACTTTGATTGGGAGACTGAATTATGAGTCAAATAATTACGCACTGAAATAACCGCAACTTGTGCACAGTTGTAATACCTGACGACATTATCGCGGGTGCTGGACTGTTCTGTACTTGAACCATCCGCTTGGTAGAACGCAGAGTATATCAAGAAGAACATGATCAATATCAGAAGTGTTATTGTGTGGGGTTTGTAGAAGAATTCAAGCGTTATGTCATCCACGTATTGCTCGTTGGACGCATGCTGATATTTATTTGAGCTTGGTGAACTACACCCAGGATTCTGAGAAGACTCGTCCTGTGTAGAAACAGATCGGATCGGTGTAAGCATATCTATATCGCACCTGACACAGGCTGTGGTTTGCAAATCAAAATAAAGTGGTACAAAGGTATAGAAAATTTCACAAGTAAAATTTGTGATAAAATCACGGTCATCATATACTATCTATCGTGTCGAGGACCAAAACTTAATACTAATAAACTAAATGTAATGCGAAAAACCCACAAGCATGTGAAAATTACACTCAGTCGTGCATGAGAGTAATAACTACACTAACAACCAGACAAAGATGCGATCATGCCTGCCCATCAAAGTTTCCCTTGTTATTGAATCAATCTGCACATGGCATACATACATACTTACATATACATGTAGTATATATGTATGAGTGTGTAAGTATGTATGTATGTAGGTATGCATGTATATATATATATATATATATATATATATAAATAGAATAAATAAATAAATAATAAATATTTATATTTATATATATTTATGTAAATAGAATAAACAGATAAATAATATATATTTATATTTATATATATATATATATAATCAATTTGTACATGGCATACATGCATACGTACGTTTACATGTAGCATATATGTCTGTGTGTGCAAGTATGCATGTATGTAGATATGCATGTATGTATGTCAAAATATTATATGTATGTATGTATGTACGTATGTATGTATGCATAATATGTATGTATGAATGCATGTATGTATGTATGTATACATGTATGTATGTATGTTGTATACATATAAACATATATATATAGATATATATATATATATATATTCATATATATATATGTATATATATATAGTCATGTATGTATAGAATAAATCAATAAATATATATATATATATGTGTGTGTGTGTGTGTAAGTAAATATATATATATATATATATATATATATGT